AAATTCTAAACTAGATCTGAAAATATATGTTGATTTATTGAGGTTTAGATGATTATTTGGGATGAGAAATGAATTATTATGGCTATAGGATTATGATTCTAAGCTAGAGACTCAATTTTTAATTTTTGGATATTTTAGGTGCGAATTTATAAAATAAAAAGAAAATTTTGATAATAGAAATTAGTTTAAAATTTGATTTTTAGATTATTAATGTTTATTGATAATTAAAAGAGGAGTTAAAAATTTTACTTAATAGTATTAACTATAGATTTGTATTAAGATTGAGATTAGAAATTATGTTATATTTTTAATTCTATTATTAGAATTATTTTATTAGTTTCAAAAATTGAAACTAATATTTATAAATAATATGTTATTTGTAGATTGTATTACTGGTGAAGATTGTGGTAAGAGAGAAATTTTAAGGAATAATTTATTGAAAAAGCCACAAGGTAACCATGCTTTTAATTTGTGATTTGTGTTACTTCATGTTAATTCGGTGATTATTGAGAAAATTATAAATTTTGTAATATTATATAATTGTGCAATATTATTATGAATTTATTTGATTATTGTGGGAGGTGTTGGGAGAATTGCTATTGTTGTTGTATTTATGTGCCACGTGGTACGCCCCTATTGGAGCTCAATAGGTGGCTTGTAAGGGCTCGGGTTAATCTACCTTTGGCCGGGTAATTTAGCATCGAGTGAGGGTTACGGCTCGAGGTTAATGGAGGGATATAAGGATGGTTGTTTGTGTGTATTGTAATATTTTTTATATTTGTTGAAATTATATTATTTTTAATTCTCACTTAGTAAGCACACACTTAACTGTTTGTATACACTATCATAAATTGGCTTTGGTTACTGGGACTTTTGAGTCTCATTATGTGGTTAACAATTTTCAGGAGAAGAGCCACGAGTGACACGTGGAGGAGTCCCAGAGGCTTAGTGGCATAGATCCACTGTCTCTTTTGGGTATTTAATTTATGATTTATAATGTGTTATATTGTCAATATTAAGGCTTTTTGTTTATTGTCAATTATATGAATATATAAATGTAATCATGCCTTTCAAACTATTTCTATTTTTGGTACAATTTGGATGACTGTAATTTTAATATTTGGTTTACTTTGGATTGGTTAAAATGGCATGATTATAAGGCCAAATAACTGGCTTATGTTGAAAATTAACTAAATTGCTTATTTTACTTGTTGGGAGTATAAGGATGGACAAATGTGATTTAGCCTAATGGCATGTGAGAGGTAAAAATTTATCTGAAATGTTATAGTGTGTGAGTTGAAGCCAATTATAAAATATTTTATATTGAAATTATTGATATAAGAATGTGTTGGGTGGCTGTAACCCAATTATGGTTGAGTTAAATTATTTTTAAAAAAAAAATTTGGTGTGTTACACAACAAAGGGAGGTATTTCACATAAATTTTGAATAAAATTATTTACAACCATCATGCAACCATTGACATATTTACACTAGTATTTTAGCCTTGCCTAGATAATACAGTTCATATCCCATAATCTAGGGCTGAAAATATAACTTTCCAACTCAACATGTAAGTAGTGCAAGTATTCATATTAATCAAAATATGAACTACCAATTAGCATTATCAATTTAAATTACATATATTCAAGATAAATCACTAGAGGCTTATAATAGGAAATCAAGTTCCTATGTCTCTAGAGCTTTCCTTTTATTTTGTCTGGAACTAGTACTTGTAAAATTTTAAATAGAGGGGTAAGTATAACTACTGAATAATTCAAGTACATCTAATCGATGCACAAACAAGTCAATTCATTATAGAAATGCAAAGTGGGCATAATAAATGCATACACACATTTCATCACATATCATCTTAGTCACAATCTTAACAAAGGTTTACCCCTCAATGCTAACACACTTCCAAAGCTATTGTTAAGCTCAGATGGTACACAAAATGATTAATTTATAATTAATCATATCAAACACCATTAATACCGTCATAATTATACTTCTAATTCCCAATTCCAACACTTAAACTACCTAAAACTCACAACCACAAGTATTTACTCACACCCATTAGATGCATTAGCTTCCATTAACTCCAACTAACTTCATTACACTTAATAAATACCATTAATGGCTGCCAACCTCACCCAACAATCATAGTTAATGCCATTTTTATCCATGAATGAGGACCCATCTACAAGAGATTATTAAATTATCAAACCTAGATTTAGATAGTTTAAACAACTTCTAATTGACTCTATTTGCGTCAATGAGTTTGGACCCAAAACCCTTAAAGTTTGAAAATCAACTCCTTATATCAAGCTCGTATTTAAAAACTAGTTAAAGAGGACGATGAGAGGTATAGACCAACTTGAATCACTCCCAAAAGCTTCAAAAATCAAACCCTAACAGAGCGAGACTCGTGCTCTTCGTCCTCTCTCTCTCTCTCTCTTTCTTTCTTCTATTTTAGTGAGTCAAACTCATGTTGTTAATCCTGAAATTTAGCCATTCACATGGCCGATGGTACAAATAAGGCTTACTCATGTTTTTCTCTCTAATTGGGCCTAAGTGGCCTAATTTTGCTTCAAACCTATCCAAAGGCTGTGGACAAGGCCTAATAGGTTCATTAGCCCCCTCTCGCCATCCTCTAACCCTTACAGTATTAAATTTATTCAATTCTCTACTATTACATTAATTAATTAGTGAGTTAATTTTTAGTATGCTACACAATGCTCCACCTTGTCAACAGCTCTTTAACCTTAATGCCCGAATCATTACTTATTGCTTAAATCCTAGTGTAGTCCTTGAAGCATGTTCCTCACTCTATCTATCCTTTCAATATCCTCTAAAAAGTTAATTTGTTCGTCACACTCACCAGAAAGACCTCCGATTGCTATTCCCCTCTCACCTAGCAAATGCAAGAAAAGGGACCATTGAAACCTTCATACCACTACTGCACAATAATAATTATATCATCTTATACTATTAATCATGCATGCATGATAAAACTTTTTTCAAATAAGTATATAAATCTTTAATTAATAAATACATTCATCCTACTTATTGCCTTACAAAATTTAATGCATTTTTAATGGAATCTCACCCAAATAAATTAGTTAATTATTTTTAAAATTAATATCATCTTTTCATATTTACCATCATTTAATAGAGTGTTTAACTTAAAAATAGATATAAAATAATTTATTTATTAAGGAAATTTTCAAAAAAAACACATTAATTACACTTAAAAACACTAAAAAAATACTTACATTTTTAAATAGAAGGAGTATTTTTTTATTGCTCATATGTATCCTTCTAATGGCTAGTTGAGACATGATCTGACACTAAATTTTCTTCTAAATGTGACATCTCTTCTAACATGTGTACATTATAAGAGACTAATATTCTTAAACTCAACTCTAATTTGTATATTGATATATAGAAAAACAAGTATGATATCTCATATATTTTAACTTATATATATATATACAACAACAACAACAACAATAAGCCTTTATCCCACTAGGTGGGGGCTACATGGATTGCAAGACGCCATTGTGCTCTATCATTTATTAAGCTTTTAGAAATATTATTAATTAAGAGATCACGTTCAACAACTTCCAAGAGTGTTCTCTTAGGCCTTCCTCTACCTCTCTTAATTGGACTCAAAGTTATATGTTCCACTCTTCTCACTGGTGCCTCCCTTGGTCTTCTTTGTACATGCCCAAACCATCTCAACCGATTTTCTACCATTTTTTCCTCAATAGGTGCCACCCTCACTTTTTCACGTATGTGCTCATTTCGAATTTTATCTTTACGTATATGTCCGCACATCCATCGTAACATTCTCATCTCTGCTACTCCAACTTTATGCTCTTGCTGTCCCGTTAGAGCCCAGCATTCACTACTATATAACATTGCCGGTCTGATAGCAGTACGATAAAACTTTCCTTTAAGTTTATTAGGCACCTTACGGTCACAAATAACTCCTTTAGCTTTTCTCCAATTAAACCACCCAGCTTGAATTTTATGTGAAATATCTCCACTGATTTCGCCATCATTTTGAATAATGGCTCCCAAATATCTAAACTTTTCCACTTGAGGTATAATTTGATCTCCCAATTTCACTTCCAAATTATTTTCGAATAGTCCTTTACCAAATTTACAATATAAATATTCCGTCTTACTTTTACTCAGACGAAAACCTTTCGACTCCAATGTCCTCCTCCATAACTCAAGTTTGCAATTAACCTCTTCTCTTGTCTCTGCTATAAGAACTATATCATCCGCGAAGAGCATACATTTCGGGATTTCCTCTTGAATATGTTCCGTCAAAATATTTAAAATCAAGTTGAACAAATAAGGACTCAGAGATGATCCCTGATGTAGTCCAATCTTTATAGGAAAATCCTTTGTTTGACCACTAGGCGTTCTTATACTAGTTTTTACCCCCTCATACATATCTTGTATGGCTTTAATATAAGCAATCCGTACTCCCTTTTTTTCCAACGCTTTCCAAAGCACTTCTCTTGGTATACGGTCATAAGCTTTTTCCAAATCAATAAAAACTATGTGTAGATATTTATCTTTACAACGATACTTTTCCATTAATCCCCTTAGTAGATAAATCGCCTCTGTAGTTGATCTACCTGGCATAAAACCAAATTGATTCTCAAAAATACTTGTCTCCAATCTCAACCTGTGCTCAATTACTTTCTCCCACAATTTCATTGTGTGGCTCATGAGTTTAATCCCTCTATAGTTAGTACAATTCTGAATATCTCCTTTATTTTTATAAATAAGAATTAATGTACTTCTCCTCCACTCATCAGGTATTTTCTTGGACCTATATATGAATATAATCCTTTTTTAAAAAAAATAAGAATGAACTCAAGAATATATTAATAGTGCCAATTGTGGAATATGTAAAAGAAAAATACTCGTCCTTTATTTTTTATTTTTTTGGGCCAACGAGGAAATAACTCTTATTAAACTTTGATCACCCTCGCCGACAAATCCGGAGTTCAGATTAAGGTAGCCCCAGTCTCTGGTGAATGTGACGGCGGCGACGCTGTATCCAGACAGCGGAGTGGCCACAAAACCAGATGTATTTTGTTGGCCGACTCTTACTCTCATACTAAGCTGCGCTGTTGAACACTGCTTTAGGGAAACAGTTCAAATAATTTTCTCGCCTCAAAAATCATCTTCCTCCTCAGTTTGTGCATTATTCTGGTAAGCACTCGATTAATCGATAATCTAGCAATTTACCCATCTTTCCTTTTTCGTTGTTATCATTATTATTATATGCAAATTTATTTTTAGGTAATATCTAGTACTTGGGTTTAATTTTGTTACACCATAACTTTTTATTTTGTGTGGGAAGTTATTTGTTATGGTTACTTCACTTTTGTTAATTGAAAAAACCAATGCAGTGGGAGTGTTTCTGCAAGAGGCTTATATAGAAGATGGAGTTCTGTCCGACTTGTGGCACCCTGTTGCAGTACGAATTGCCCTATATGTGTCGCCCTTCAAGATTCTTTTGTCCTACTTGCCCATATGTTTGCTACGTCGAGAATAAGGTATGGGTTCAAGAGCTATGTCTCAGGAAAATTTTCCTCTCTATATATACACATACAATGCATTGTTAGATTCTTCTTTTGTGGTTTCATCTTTGCACTCTGCAGGTAAAGATAAAGAGAAAGCACCGTTTAGTGAGAAAAGAGATAGAACCTGTTATCTCCCAAGATGACATGAAGGGTGCACCCACGGCTGATGGTACATATTTTCCCACTCCTCCCTCGTTTTCTCCCCCTACAGGATTGGAATTTCTTTTTCCCTCAGCTCCTTTTGGATTGGTTAGTTGGATAATCAGTAGTTTTTAGTGATGATTTTTTCAAAAAATGTTTGCTTACTAGTCATACCAGTTTGTTGATCCTTGATCGGTGCAAATTATACTGCTCCTGTTTCCTTTATTTTTTTGGATGAAACTCTACTATCTTGTTGTCATGCCATTTTTAGAATGAAAAAGCTTTAGTGCTGATATTTATATTTTTTTCTATCAGCTTTTCCAGTTAAAACGTGATAGGTTGTAATTTTATAATAACAACATGATAAGTTTATATTTTGTTACTATTAAAAAATGGATGCACTTATTATGTTTTGATTGAAAGATTGGAAGTAAAGATATAGGAAACTGCACCTAAATCTAATGCTTTATATAATTAATCTTTGGAGATTTATATTGTGGGAATTTACTCTTGAGCATGGACCTTCTTGTGGGGTGACTGCAATGCAATGTCTGGTACCATGACTTAAGTTGTCGTTAAGATGTGAACCTTATAACCTTGGAGTAATCAAACTTAGATGTAAAATTACTTCTGAGAACTAGGCTACTGTAAGTTGTGTTCTGGCTTGGTTTCATGCTGAGACCTTATAATCTTGGCGCTTCTCTTAATTGAACTTAGATGTAAAATTACTTCTTTGAACTAGGCTATTTTAAGTTGTGCTCTGGCTTGGTTTCGTGCTGAAACATGAACGGAAGTGATCTAACTAATTCTTCAGATTCTTGACTCAGCTAGGCACACAGATTGTGTTCAGTTGTGTTAGTATGAATACGTTGCTAATAACTTTTCAGTGGATTTTTGTTGATTCATCAGGAGCTTCATTTTTTCTTCTGATTTTGGGGAGGAAAGTGAGTTGATTCTGAATCATCTTCTTGACATGATTAGGCTAAAAAGAAATTACTTGATTCAGATGCTGCATAAACAGTCGCTGCATGATAAAATAGTTTATTTATAATTTTTTTTTTTAATGAACATGAGGTCGGTCTAGAATTATAAAATAGTCCACCCTTGTTCTAAACGGTGTTCTGATAACCCCATTTACACTGATGTGGTTTGTTTCCTTAATTAATGAGGACAAGCAAGAACAGAAGCTGAAGGTACACAAATCAAAGTTGTGGAGTGGACCAAAATATATTGTTAAAATTTGAAATTGCTTTTGGAGGGTGTCCTGTTGTTGGATGCTAAGATACTCTACGAGGAGTTCTAATGATTGATTTCACTTATCATTCTGGACAAACTAAGAGGGTGTAGTTTTAATGCGTGTCATGTCAAAGTCATGGAGTACAACAAGATATATGATTAAAATTGTCACTGTAGTGGGATTTGTATTGTTAGCTAAACTTTTGGGTTGTATCTGCTCAGGATTATTCTAAATTTGAAGATTGAAATAAATTCCTTGAACCAGCAGCACGGGACTGTTCTAATTTTAGCTAGGAAGCTCTAGACTAGAGTAATAGTTCATAAATTTGATTGCATGATATTTGTTAGCTTGATTATAGTTTTGGGCAAGGAACAAGTACACAATTTTTTGGGCCAGGAGGAAACGGTAGACAATAAAATAAGTTAATTATTATTGTTTTTATTGACCCTTGTTTTTATATTGAGCATGTCTAAGGGGTGATGCTACCATATTGTTCTTGCTTGTTCATTTTTCTTCTTATATCTTCGTTTTCTTTTCTCACTCCTCTTTTCTGGCAGTCCCATGCCCAAAATGCAATCATGATAAAGCTGCTTACACAGAATTTCAGACTCGATCAGCTGATGAGCCAGCAACCATATTCTACATGTGCTTGAATGAGAAGTGCAGACACCAATGGCGTGATGGCTAATTCTCTAGCAAGCTTACTCATCGATCCAAGAATTTTCAGAGTTCCTTTTGATTTTCATCTTAAGTTGCGCAATTAGAAAAATCATTCCTTACAATCAGCATAATATATTCCTTTGAGGCGTACGAGTCTTTCTTGACCTATATTATTCTCAGTAGTTTCTCAGTTGCAGTATGTGTTAGAAATGTTAACCTCACAAACATTGGGTCCGAAGTACGGATTCAATTCGGCCATAGACCAACACCAAAAATTGAACTATCAACTTGGTTTTGCAAAATGAAAGACCTGTTCGTTTAGTGAAATTGAATTTTGGTTGGATTGAATTTACTTTACGCATTTTAAGTGATTTTTTTCCGTATGTTTTTATCTATCAAGTATTCATTTATTTTTGAAATTGCTTATTTGGGTTTTTTGCGATAATTAATCTTGAAACCATAGAGAAAGAACTTCTCAAGATCATATCATGGCTGTCTTGATGTGATCTTCAATCAGCACAAAAAAAAAACATTATTAGTATAATTTTGTTAGGTTTTAATGGACTAAGCTAGGTTAAACTGAATGGAACCAATGGAACTAATTTTGAAATGTTTTAACAAATTTAATTTTGACTGAATTTATTTTTTTAAATTTTATTTGTTTTATATGGATATTGTTCAGTTCAAATCAGTTCAAGTTTAGTTTTCAAGTATTTCTATAACAAAGGCACATTCTGATCCTTCCGGCTAGTTGTTAATCTCTGCATTCCACCAACCAATAATCCCTTTGCACATTTAGGGGGCGAACCTTTTTATCTTAAGTTGTTAGTATATGTTTTCCTACCAGTACAAGAGAAAGAGCAAGTCAATGTGGTTGGTAAGGGAAGGAGTGAGGAGAAAGAAGGGAATGTGAGGAAGTAAGACATGGAGCAAGTTTCCCTTATCAAATGAATTCCCTTAGATACAATGCGTTACATTACAATGCTGACAAAGAATTAAAAGAATGTACTTGCATTTATAACTAATAGCGAATCATTTTCAAAGGTTCAGTATATAAAGACAAATTGCGAACATCGTCCTGTACGTACAACTTTTGAAAATTTCTCCGAAGTTAGGAAATAATTTTAAACTTCAGAGAAAAAAAAAAAAAAACACAAGAGCCACATCCAACTGGAGTTAGATCCCTTCAATTGATTGAAAGAATTATGTGAGAAGAACGAAGAGAATGGGGTTGGGACCCTTACGGAGGTAGATATGATCCCCTTATCTCTTATTTCTTTCACTTCATCCTTGATTAATTGAGAGAATCCAAATCCAAGCTACATTCAATATGCAGTGTTTTGCAAGTATAATGAACTTCACAACAACAAAATGACTTCAGCCAGTGAAAGAAAAACTGAAAAAGGGTCAGCGAACCACTGCAAGGTCAATGAACAGCCAATTTCTTCTTAGCCATCCATCTCTTTTTGATGTGATCCAAATGCGCCAACTTCCTTCTAGAAAGTTCTTGAAATTGTTCATGATAGAAAGCCTCAATTGCATCAATTTCCAACTTTAGCTCAGACTCTGCGTTCTCCTCTGCCAAAGACAAAGAAGAACAGCTGCTTGTCAAGCTAAAAGCATGACATGTGCCATCAAATGGTGGGATCGTTTCATTCTTTGTAAAGTTGTTTATCACAATGCCTTCCCGGACACTACTATCTGTTGTTCTCTGCAATTTGCGAGCCTCAAGATATGTATCCCTAAGGTCTAGTTCAGAGATAGACCAATTCAAGGATTTAGAGCTCCCATTTAAATCGAGAAAGTTGTCTATTTTTATAGACAAATCTTTAGCAAGTAGCACCGAGGTTGTGGATCCTTGTGAATATTGATATTCCAAGTCAGCCAAAGTGGGAGAAGAATTACACTCCCCATGCAAAGTAGCATTATTAACAGTGTCGACTAGTAAAAAGCCCTCCTCAGGTGTAACCTCACCTTTTTGATCATCAATATTCAGCCCTAACACATCATCTTGGTAAATAACTAATCCAGCAGGATCACTAGCTAGGATGGAATCCCATAGACTTGTTTTGGTTTGGCCATCTACCAGTGTTGAAGACCCATCATCGAGGCTTATTCCTTCACTTGAGGAGTAATCAGATGAAGGTTTCCAGCCAGGTAGAAGCTTTGTTATCAAATGATCAATAAGCTCAGCAATTAAGGTCACATCATGTTCTGCTAGCTCTAGTTGTTCAACCATCTCTGAGGCCACTGAGACTGCAGTGTCTGAATCAAGATAAAAGAGAAAATGTATATTCTTAACTCGACCTGCAAGTATAAGAATGTCAGATCATTGCCATATAGATTATGAAAAATATAGCATAACATAACCTTAACCCCAGTTCATGCATTCTTCAATCCCCCCTCAGCCACACAGAGAGAGAGAGAGAGAGAGAGAGAGATTGATAGATTCACACACACACACACACACACACACACACACACACACACACACAGAGGAGGAGCATATACTGACCAGAGGAATTTGCAATACGCAAGGTCAATGATGCAGATTTATCATCATTTTTTGTCCCTTTCAACTTAAATTCATTCTCCTTAGATGTCCTCTGGAGTTCTAGAACTGGAGATTGGGGACTTCCACAGTTGCTTTCAGCATAGGTACTCACAGAAATCTGTTTATAGTCAGGATCTATGTCCATAGATAAAGGACCAGACCTGGACAAATCTATAGATCTTGGAGTTTGATGAGGCAACTGTAAAGGATCTCGGGCTGGATTCTTTGGATTCTCAACTTGCAGAAATGGGTCATTGAGAAGCTCTTCTGCAGACAATCTATGAGATGCCGGAACCAAACATTTTTCAATAAACTCTCTAATTTGGGGGTCATTCACCCTATTAAGAGAAGCAGGCTTGATACCCTGCAGTAGGAGGCATCAGAACATTGGATGCTAATGAAGTGGTTCAAATAGTAAGCATCTAAATGTAATCAATAGCATTAGGAATTTCTAGTGCTTAACATACATACAGAGGTAACTTTCTTATAGATTTGAGCTGGATTTTTGCATTCGCTATAAGGATACTCAAAAGTAACCATCTCAAATATGCACATCCCAAAAGAATAGATGTCAACAAGCTCATTGTATTCCTCTTCATAAAGCTCAGGAGCCATAAATTCAGGAGTCCCTTAATCACAAGAACAAAACAACAAATTGAGTACTCCTAGAAGATTTAGGATGATGAAAATCTCACAGTTAAAGAGAGCAACATCTTACCAATGACACTTCGAGCAACTGGTTGTTGCATCACTGTTGCCAAGCCTAGGTCTCCTATCTTAATTTCTCCGTGGTTTCCATTCACAAAGATGTTGTCACATTTCAAGTCTCTATGAATAATAGGAGGCTTGTGACTGTGAATGTAGGCTAAACCTTGGAGAATCTGCCTAGCCCAACCTTTGATGGCCTTCATGTCAACATTTTTATGCTTCCTACGGTATCTGTTAGCCAAGAAGTGTACTATTATTTCAAATGCAAATATAACAGTAGAACAACTTAAGGGAAAGCAAGAAATCTGACAGAGCAACATACTGTCTTAAAGTTCCAGACGTGAAGAGCTCAGTAATCATGTTAACAGTTTTGTTCTTATCATCAACCCAAGAATGATAGAACTTCATAATATTTTCATGTTTCAAAGACTTCAATATGTGAACTTCAGAGTATAGTTTTGCTAGATCAACTGCTGATTGTAGAACATCATCAATCCTTACTTGGTTCCAAGCAACTTCGATTCCATCAACTTCATCAAAGGCCCTATAACTACCAATGAGAGAAAGATTAGAGGTAACATAAAGTAACAACAATAATTCAACAATAATAAGAGATAAGATATCAGTATCATACACAGTCTTGAAAGCACCCTTGCCTAAGACTTCATTGTACTGCAATAAGAGAGAGAGAGAGAGAGAGATTAAAATAAAATAATATAATATAGAAAGACTAGGTGAATATAGAATTGAAAAAATTTCCTTGTAAAGGAGTGAGCAGATTGTCATCAACCCTAGCTATGCTTTAGGCAAAGGCATTCCTTGAAGATGCCTCATCAAGGTTTCTTTATATAAATTTTGAATCTTGGACACAAGCTCCAAGCCTTTTGAAATTTCATTGGGGCTAACACAATCGATAAAATGTGTAGTTCGTAAACGTAGAAATTGAACATAAATTATCTTTCAGGTTTAAACAAGAAACATTTAAGTAAATATTACCTTCAGCAAAATAATATCAAGCTCTACATTAGCAGCCCTAATTTTAGAATGATGGAAATTATGCATTCTGGCATATTATATAGATCGTGCAGTTATTTAAACCAAAAGCTCAACTTATTTCCCTTGCAATATATTTTTGCGAATGCTAGCTTGGGATAACATGCTAACAAATAAAAGATAGAAAACTTTCCTCTTGTAATAATCCAAACAAGTATCATAGATATGTGTCGACCCCTGTAGATCAACGTACTCATATTCACCATAATGTTCAATTGTAGTTCCTAGGCATCAACATTTTAAAAACGTAGTCGCATTGTGTCTGAGGAAGTGCCATCCAGAATTCTAAAAGCCTTGGTATCTTGTATCCATTTCCTTGCTTCTAAGACACCAATACAACATAATCATGATTCATCACTCAGAGTTGAAGCTTATCTATTATTTACAAACACCATCCCCAAAAGTTATCATACACTAGAGCAAACTAAATTGAAAAACATATAATGAAGAATATGCATGGCCTTCATACCCGGATATATCGGCCAGTTGGATCTTTCTCAGCAAAATCCTCCTCGAATTTAGAAGGATCCTTTGTACCTGTTCCATCATTTTCTGGCAATGCTAATTCAACCCCATAATCCATTTTGCTCTCAGAACCTAATAGCTATAAGATTTGTTCACTTTTGGTTCTTTTATTGTTATTGTTTTTCGAATTGATCACAAACTTCGCTGATCAACCCCAATTGGAACGAAAGAACAATGACCCCCAAAGAAATCTGGGGATGCGATGCTAGAAAAATCGAATGCCGAAGGGATCGACATTCGAACACAATGGTAGGAGGCAATGAACCTGAATCCAAAACCCTACCATCCATATCATAGCAAAAACTCATCCTCAAACAAAACCCAAAATTATCTTCCTATCGAAATCCATATTTAACACGACCAACCCTAAGTCTCAAAGAAACCCTCACACGAAGAACAAAACTTTACAAGTGGGTTACAATTACAACATCTCTAAGAGGAAAAGAAAAAGTGGGTTACAATTACAACATCTCTGAAAGGGGAAGGAAAAGTTAAAAAAAGCTTTAGGTGGGAACGTGTTATGATGGGGGAGAGAAAGAAGCAGGTGAGAAGGAGAGAAATCCGAACTGATTCGGGGTGGGAAGCGAGAGAGAAGGATGGAACAAACAATTGTATGGTGATGTTGTTGGAAGCCTTCTGGAGAATTCATATATTTATAGCCTTTGGTGCGGGAAGAAGAGAGAGAACGTTAGTTCGAACGGTTGGAGACATTTCCTCAGTCGGATTCAAAGATTTCGAACTGATAAATAACAATTCAACAGGACATGATTAAAAGTAAAGGTGTTCAAAATCGATCCAAATCGAAAGGATCGATCCAAACCAATTCAAACCGACAAAAACCGATCAAAACCGAACAACAATCAGGTCCGCTTCGGTTTTTATGATATAAAAACCGATTGGTTCAGTTCAAGTTCGGTTTTGAGTACAAGAAACCGAACCAAACCGAACCAAACTTGATTAAAAAAATTCTATTTATTTATTTGTAAAATATATAACCATTTATTTACAAGAAGCATTTTATTTTGAATTTTTTATAATAATAAATAAACATTTTTAAAATACTTGAATGAAAATGCATAATATTAAGTGATTATAATAATCATACTATGATCATCATTTAATTATTTACAACCTAAAAGCCTCAGCATTCAATTTATCTACAAGAAATATTTTATTTTGAATTTTGTATAATAAGTTTTTCATTATTTATTAAAATATAGATACATAGATAAACATTTTCAAAGGATTTTAACGAAAATACATAATATTAAATAATTTTAATCTTAAAAACTTATATCAATTTTTATGATTAATTATTGTTATCACATTGAAATTTTATTATATTTTTATACCTTTATTTATGAAAAAAAGGAGTTAAAAAGAATTAAATTTAATTTTAGTACATAGCACCATTATGAAGATGGAGAAAAGAAAAAAAAATTAAACAAGTCCATTAAAACTTGATCAAGACCTTAACCAAACCGAACCAAACCGAAAATAAAATCAAACCAAACCGAACTTCATAAAAACCGATCAGGTCTCAATTATCAGTAAACCGAATGGTTCGGTTCGGTTTGGTTTTTGTTCAAAATCAAACCAAACCGAACCTATGAACACCCTTAATTAAAAGGTTCGGTACTTGGCCTTAAAAAAGGTTCGGTAAAAAATATTGGCCAAGAAAAAGTGAGAAAAATGCTTAATAATTAATACCTCAATAATATTAATATTATATCCTCCAGTCTATCCGTTGGTCAGTTCGGTTTTCTTTTCTCTTTCTTTTTTTTTGGTGAAAATGCGGGGCCTAAACCCAAACTTTTATTTAATTGGCAACAAAATGGGGCCTAGAAAAGCCCATAACATCCCTGTACAATATTTAATTTGACCCAATCAAAGATAGGCCTTACCCAAGTAATATTCCTCCAAGCCTTCCTCCTAGTTCCTACAGGCCAATTCCTTGTTAGATAGAAAAGTACAGCGAAAGATTAAAATTTTAAAATCTCTATTTTAATATAGACCGAACAAATTCATTTAAATCAAAGTGAATAGAAGAGTTACCTTTTAATTCTTCAAACTTGGCGCGTGTTCTTTTCAAGAGTTTGGATATCAGGAGCTGACAATGTATATTTGCTCCCTCTAGCGGTATCCACACGGACAGCTCTCTAAGTTGAACAGCGTGCTAGTGCTTCCAGCATCCGTTCTTCTTTGAACGTTAGTTTTTCTTTTTACAGGTTGTTTTGTGGCTCTCAAACGTAAGATATTGCAACTGCCTAATTCACATGAGGATCGATGATCCAATGTAACCTATCATACAACCATATCACATCTTTTTCGTCACGTGATATTTCAATTGAGTGTGAGACACAACCCGACTATTACTTTTCGATCTTTAAGTGGACTGACTATAGTAATGAAAAAATTCTTTCCATTATAGTATGGCTATACATTTTTCTCAGTCTTACTCATTAAGGGGCCCAGTAATATCTTTCACTTAATATGAGGGATAAATTTCATCTTGACCACTCATACTCCTCTGCATAAATATTACTAAACTCAATCATAGTCTTTATGATCATCCAATCAAAAGTGACTTTTGACTAGATCAAAGTTCAGTGGTCATCATGTAGGAATCTATGATAATCTCAAGTTAAAGGAATAATGGCTGCCTTAACATTATCGGAACAACACTCATGCACGCCGTTATAATAACTAAGATTAGATAAAATCCAAAAAGAATTTATCACAACTCAAGAGTTTAAAAGGTAGTTAGTTTAAAACAATGGGATCTCGAGAAAATTCTTTTTAAAATATTGTTTGAGTTGAAACCATGATTAAAAATTCAATTAAAATACGAAAGCATAGAAATCAAACTACTTCAAAACAGGTTAAAATAAGCCATTTTTCAAAAATCTGGACCATCCACCACGGTGCAAGCTACTCGTGCTGTGGCGGGTGGCATAGAGAGACGAGTCCCTCAAAGGCCACTTGGTGCACACTTACTATCATGATAGCTCTCTGAATTTTCAGAGCTTGCTGTTTCGTCATTTGACGTCTGATTTAGGTAGTTCAAGTATCCACACAAAGCTCTTCAAGCTCTCTAACTAATAGCATTGGTCTCACACTCAAATAATTATTAGTTAAAAAGATGAAAATCTGAATTCAAAATAGTTTGTTTCACCTTAAAACGCACACAAATGTGTCCAACTCACAATGCCAAATGTCATTAGCCTTAGAGACACTTTGACCAACACAAATAGACCACACACAATATGACAGATCATTCATATTATACAAATAAGTAATCATACTCAAAATGACCACCAAACCTCTATTTGATAATAATACAAAAGGGTGAACAAAATTTAGCACATATATCAATTTAGTCATTTTGACACATAAATTACTTCAAATATATCACTTGTAATTGTGACTTGGCCAAGCACGCACACTTAATCCATAACATTAACCTTGAACTAAGATAGGCACACTTATCACAAATTCATACAAGTGATAACAAAACAATGTCATGTTCCTAAGTTGGCATTATATAATGACAATATTCGTTATCCCAAAAAAGAAAGGGGAAGAGCTATACTACAACACTCTGCACTCTTCAATTGCCCCTTCCTTCCCCTTGCCTCTATCGGAGCCCTCACTTGTAAAATTTAACCACGGGGTGAGATAAACATATTAGTAACAGAATAATTCACTACTATTAATTAACATGCACAACCATTAGGGAGTAAAGCTATTAAACACCAAAATATATTTTTGCATATTATAACACACTCTTTTTCATCAACACAAAATCATTTACCACTACTATGATTATTCAACCATCCGAACCTCCATATCATCCCGACTGAAACCATAAGCTTTTGAACCAAGTGCATATTCACAATGGTCTGACCTTACCTTCGATGGTAGGATCACTTGGCTAAAGGTGCCTATCCTACTTTCGGACTATGGTCTCTCCCTATCGCACACAAATCGAGGTGTCGTTACTCCAATACTACATCACTGATACTAAGGAGCGTCACTCTCTAATGTTGTGTCTCGTATGGATATTAAGGAGAAAATCTCCAACACTATGCCCCACTAGACACTAAGAAGATACATGCCATATGGACTTTTACTACTCCTTCCTATGAGTGAACTCCCACCCCCTAACATGATCATGCTCAAGTTACCACATCTCACCCTTATAAGAAATTATTAATTTTCACACAAGAACTCAAATTTCTTTATCATTTCAAAAGTAGTTTCTAATGCATGAGAAAATCTTCTCTCACAATATACCAAGCTTTCAAAACACATTTAAACACATATATTTATCTATTCACAAACAGTTAAGCAATATAATCAATCAGTGTAAATTATTTCATTACCTCAACCCTTTGTCACACAAAAAAAGTTAATGTGGCTCAACGTTAGCTCCATACATTCTATATGCATGAGGTAGCTGGAACAATACTTAATCTACACAATCAAGTGACAATCATCAATTATCACTCCAGATAAACCCTAAATTTTTTAGGTTCTAAGTACTCATAACACTCAAATTCATTTTCTAACAATACCAACTATTCTCAAATACTCTAACCATCTTATGAAACATCCCTACACACCAAAATCACTAGTCAATTTTTCACATTGTCTCAAAACCTCCAGATTATGCCTAGGGTTTGTTCAAACCCTTAATAAAAATTCTCAATCATTATAAAACTCATAAACTTAGGGTTAGAAGCTTGATTTAACTTCTCAAGACCTTAAATAAATCAATGGGTTCGATCTAAATCTAAAGAAACCAAAATCAAAGCCCCCATTACCCCACCAGTCTAGATTTTCGCATAAAAGAGAGAGAAGAGGGAATGTGAAACTTACCTAATAGTGATTCAAGCTCCAAATGCTCCCAATGTGGCCTAGGGGATAGTGCCTTAGCAAAAAACACTCTCTTCTCCATTGCTTGCTCGTTATCGCTCTTTCTTTCTTTTGTTTTTGATTTATTTTTGTGTCTAATAAGTGTTGATTTTGCGTGTGCATCGTAGCTCATGGCACAAAAAGCCACACCAAAATTTAAACTTCCTTCCGTGCCATGGCCTGTTCAAGCATCGACCTTACCCTCTTTTAAGGCTGTCCAAGGATCCAAAAACTATATTAGTCTCCCATAACCTTACTAATTGGAAAACTTAGGGTATTACAAAAGGGCTTAGTGATATAGTTATATATGAAATAAACTTATGACTTGTACCATGTAACTTTCTCATAGCGGGTTGATCTAGCACCTTGTACTCTTTCAAGTGCCTATGACTTTGATTTATATATCTATAATTAATCAAAGTCATACTAGTCTTGTTTCATCTATGATCTCTCATATATGACTGACTAGAGACATTTAGGACAATCATTATAGTTTGTCCAAGGATATAATTATCATGGTGAACATGCAATTAATATTATAATAAAAGAGAAATTCATTAAATAACAATGTGCATATTATAATGATAGGCTCTAGAGCACAATTTTCAACATTCCTTACCATCATACCCATGTCTCACTTTATCCTCATATTTCAGAGTAGCATGAACTAAAATCTCATTCCATTTAAAGTTAGTATCAAACATCCTTTTATTTCTCCAATACTAAAGAAACCAGCAAGCAATGCCAAAAATTTTGCTCCAAAACCCCTTCCAAATTCTAAATTAACCATACATCCTTATTATAATTAAAGAAAGCATCT